GTTGATAACTATTGTTACTTTGTACCTCGGTACATGATATTTCTCCTTAGTTTAACCCAATCTACCGCTATTTCCAAAATTGCTACTTTTGCATCAGACACCCTGTATATTATAATATATAATATATTATCATATATTATCATAAAATATATAGTATAATAATATTTTATTATAAACTTCTTTACAGAAAAAACAAAACAAAAGTATTCTCTTTAAAAACTAAGATAAAGCTTTCACAATCTTTGGTTTTTCTCGTATTTGCAAAGTCTTTAAAAAGGAAAAGAAACGTAAACTATGTTAAAGTACTTCGCGATAAAAACAATTGAAAAGTACACATTCTTTTATAAAAAATATTTTAAAAGTAAAATAAAGCCAAATATTGAGTCAAAAGATACACCCACTTAAAAAACTACCTTCCTGGCCTTCACATTGGCAAACTCATTAACTAGTTCATCATATTTCAGACTTCTTGCTATAGATTTTTCAATTGCGATTAATGCAAGGTTACTGAGCCTTTTTTGTGCCATAGTTGAACGTAGATAATTTTTAATAAGTTTTAATTTACTGAATGATCTCTCGCACGAAGCAGAGGTAACTGGTATCGTTAAGTATATTCGGTAAGCAACAGACATATTTGGGCAACTGGGTAGTAAATTATAATCAATTATTAATTGCAAAATGTCTAAATGTAACATTTTTGAGGCGTCAGATAACTTTATAGTCTTTAGTAAGTTTCTTGCACTAACTATTTCTTCATATAACTCGTTTGCGTTAAGATCATTGGAATACTTCAGTGCCAAATCTGCAGAATGTTTTTTTAACTGATCTATTTTTTGAGTGATCAAAAATTGACCTGATAAAAATTCAAAGTCAGCAGCCACTTTATTCAAAGTTTCAAAACGCCATTCTATCTCGTTGTAGATTCTGTCTAAAACTTCTATATAAAGTATTTTGAACCTTTCTTTTTCTGTCAGGGTGTAGTTTTCATCGGTGCTTTCATCTATAGACACTTTTTTAATTGTTCGTTTCCTTTTGTTTTTAAAATCCGTATCAATACCCATTTGATCACAAATAATTAAAGCTTGCTGGTAGACTTCATCAAATCCTGTATTCCTTAGTTCTTTGGTGTCTTCTTTTAAACTTTCCAATAGCTTACTGACAGATGTCAAGTCCATATTTTTTCTTTGAATGGCAATATTTATTCTGTCAAATTTGGACAATATATGCTCCCACATAACTAATTGACAAATAAATTCATAATCTATTTGTTTTAAAAGAGAATTTGCTGTAGATGAGCTCTCGGGATTTATATGGGAATTCTCTATTTCAGTTAATGCCTTAATGACATTGGGCAGTTCCGAGTATAAAGCACTTATAGCTTGATTTTTCGATGACCATCTAGTATTACTATTACCTTTCAAGAAAATTTTTACATTTTTTGTTAATATATTCCAACGAGTTATCGAGTTAACAAAATATACAAACATATTTTGGACCGTTTTCCAAAAAATATAACCATTTTTGGTGAAAAACTCTGCATGAAAAAAAGCTGCATGCACTCCTACTAAATTCAAGGAATGTGCCGTACTTGGAACAAATAAGGCCAAATAATTTTTTTCATTGAGGAGAGCCTGGACACCTTTATTTTTGCCGGCCATATTTGACCCATTGTCATAACATTGTGCTCTACAATCCTTAATGTTCAATCCATCATTTTCTAATTTTTTTACGATATCATGTGACAAGCCTGTTCCAGTCTTTTCTTTTGTGTTGATAAAATCTATAAATTTTTCTTCAATACAACATTTACCGTCTTCTATTTTCACATATCTAATTATTTCAGACATTTGTTCCGTATGAGATACATCCGTGGTACAGTCAAATGATATGGCAAAATATTTAGCTTTCTTTATTTCTTGAATGATACTTCTCCTTATGGCTGAAGCAACTAAGTTAATTACTTCATTTTGGGTTTGCCAAGAAAAATAGGATATAGTTCGACGTCCTCTGTTATTTATATTTGAATTTCTCTTCATGGGATCTACTGAGTTTTTATATTTTTACTTCAGAATATCGAGAAGGAAATAAAAGCACACTTAAAGGGCGATGCTGTTCTAATATATTGTTTTAAAAATAATGGAATTTTAAATGGAGAGGCAAGAGGAATACTAGTAGAAATATTAGCAAGTTGTATGATAAAAATTCATGTAAAGTAAGTTTTTAATATAACTTTATTTTACTATACTACACAGAGTGTTATGTAATACTTGTCTCACCTCTTATTTACGAATAGAGTGGATAAGACTGATTGTGAGTTGAGAAGTCCTCTACCATTTTGCAATTTTCGCAATAGTTGACGAGTTATTAATTACTAAAAATTACTGCCTTAGCCCGACCTATCTCCCAATTCAGGCTCGCGGTGAGAAGCGGCCTTCTCGCGATCGGCGTTGCTAGGCGCGCGGGAAATTGTTTATGACACACGGCAAAGGCTATGTATAATAAACAATTCCCCGCGCGCCAGCAACGCCATTCGCGGGACGGCTGCATCTCACTGCGAGCTTGAATTGGACGGTAGGCCGGGCTAAGACAGCGATTTTTAATAATTAATAACTCATCAACTGCTGCGAAAATTGCAAAATGATAGAGGACTTTTCGACATCTTTTCGACTCAGTCTAGATCGCTCTATCCATAAATAAAAGATGAGGTGGATATTACATAACACCCTGTATAATGTGTTAATAACATATTTTTCTAATGTTGTTAATATCTTCCATCTTTTTGTAGTCCTACTTTTGAAGAATTTCACATTATATCTAAAAAAATATGTGAATTATTTCCAACAGAGACTGAGGTAAAATTTCTTTATTTGTAATTTTGTGTAGACACTGGTAATTAGAGTTATTTTAAAAATAAAAAATAATAAAAAATCTTTTATAGGCTACATACGTGTATGAACCATTTACAAATGGTCCAGACCAAAAAAATATAGGTGGAAAATTACCTGATAAGGTAAGAAATATAAAATCTACATTGAGGAGGCTCGGTGCACTCAATCCAGCCAACTATCACAAACATTCAGTTCACAATGACGAAAATGAGCCCAGTACAAGTACAACTGAAGGTATTTAAATTCAACATCATCAACTTTAGATTATTATTAACTGTTAAGGAACATTTCTTGTAGAATACTTATTTATTAATAAATTTGTTGAAAATGTATCTAGTGCACGAAGATGAAGTACAAGCAGCCATTCGATGGTGGAAAATCAGTCGGGAACCTTGGACAGATGTATTGAAGAACTGGGATATAAGTTATACTTTTAGACAACAATCATTACTTGATCCAAAAGGTGGAGGAAATAAACTACTTTCGGTAACAGATTATTTTTCCCAATGGGAGGTTTTGTCTTTCCCTCAAGGGTATACTCTTGTAAGTATATTAAGTATGTATTTAATATTTACTCTTCGTCAGAAAAATTAATATTTTAATTTTTTAGCTTGATCGTGACTTTAAAAAGAAATATCCTGATAAGGATTT